GTTCTGCTTGCATGATTTTACCCATCAATTAACCCAGAGAAGTAGAATCTTTAATGTAAGAATTAAAGGGCTATGTCTCCATGAATAATTAAATATAAAAATAGTAGCAAGATGAGGCTATTTTGATTTTTTCATCATTTATTCATGTATTTGATTAATTCATTGAGTATTTATTGAACAAGTACATATGGTACCCAAACCATGTACTGGGCACTATTCTTTAACTGGGGATACAAAACAAAGGTATTGTTTGCTTTTGTGACTCTTACAACCTACTGAAAAGAAGAGGCAATACACAAGAACACAGAGCCATGAGCAAGGCTATTTTGTATAGCGAAAGTGCAATAAATAACAATGGAATAGGATAGCATAATAGTGAATGACAGAATGCATGAGGCACATGGGTGTCCAAAAGCATTTGGATAAGACTGCTAGGAATTAGTTTTTCTAAAAACATCTTAACAATTGAAGTTAAAACCAATGGAGAAGGATCCAGACATAAAACTTCTGTATATATCAAGGCACTAAGCATGGTTTTATGTTTACTCTATGTAAAGAAAAGAAACATGGTTTAAGAAACAAGGTGCCTTCTTGATTACTATGGCCACAAACCAAGGGATGCTGTTACATTTTAAATTAATTAAAATAAAATACAAACCCTCAATGCTTATATTAGTCGACTTTCCTGTTTTTCAGGCCCAATACCCAACACCCAACACCTCCAAATTTAAAGAAGAAATAGTTTCTCTGTCTCATGTCTTTGGAGCTTTTAGTTCAAGATTGACTTCAAGTCGGGTTCATCATGGCAGAAGGACCTGGAAGGGAAAAGATGCTCCATTCAGGAAGTAGAATAGAGGAAGAGTGCTAGAGAGCAGCCAGATACAAACCTCAAGGTCACACTTCGGAGATCCACCCCAACACATCCAGAAGTGATTTATTAACTCCTTACGCATCTCCCAAGCCACTCAAGCTGACACATCTAATGGCCACAGTTTCTTAGTGGCACTATGCTTGGTTCAAGGGCTCAACAGCCATTTGTGGTTAATGACTGCTGTAATGGACAACACAGAGCCCATTTCTATCACTGAAGAGAGTTCTAATGGATAGGGCATTAGTAGCAAAGTAGATTTGAAATCGGAAGGGGGTCACAGAGAGTAGCCAGGAAAGATTCTGATGGCTTGACATGAAGACTTTGGATCCATGGAAGCCTTTGGATGGTTTGAAGTAGGAAAGAGAAAGTTATCATAACAAGTGGATAGAAAATGAATTATGAGGCATGCAAGACCCATTAGATATTGAAGTTGTACTGCTCAAGAAAGTGATAGGTCTTTGGTTATTTTCTAAGAGGAGCGGTGAAATGTAAAGGAGTTTGGGACATAGTTTAGAGATAGACTTGAATCAATTTGTTACTAGACTGCAAACAAGATAAACAGAAAAGGATCAAGGGCAATAGCACCTTCTGAAACATGAACAGCTATGTAGGTGGTAATTTATGCTGTTTACTGGAGTAAGAGAAGATGGAGGAGACATCATTTGTCTGTGTAGGTGGTTAGGGTTGGAAGGAAGGTGTGCAAAGTCAAGGGTTTTGATTCAGATACATTCTGCTTTGGCTATCCTTTGTGTATAAATGCACAGAGGTCAGGTGGGCAGTGCAGAATGAGTAAATCCATATTAAGTAGTGAACTTTTCAAAGTTTACAAAATAATTCCCTTAAGCATAATGGTATTTGTACTTTTTGTCCAAGTACAAATGATACGCCATAGGGTCGAGAACCTCACAGAGAAGTAGTACAGTAAAACCACACTAACTGGTTGGACCAGGCAAGAAACTGAACCCAGGGCCTTCACACTGAGCTATGTCCTTAGTCCTTTTTTTGAGTCAGGGTCTTACTAAATTGCTAGATTGGGCCTGATCTTGTGATCCTCCTGTCTCAGCTTCCCAGAAGTTGAGATTATAGGTATGGACCACCACACCCAACATGTATCATTACTTTTTTGAATTATCATCCATCATTACCTACCCAAAATGAGCAGGGTTTATATGCAGCTATTTAAGTTATGCATTGTGGTTTATTTAAGATAAGGTCTGCTAAAGGCTCAATGCCACTTCTTCCAGTTTGTGTAGTCCTTTGTAGTTTTTCCATCTAATTTGAATGTTTTAGTTTTTTGGTTTCTAGATGATGATGGGGAGAAAAATTACCTTTTTTTTTTTTCCTAGGGGGACTCATAACTTCGTGACTGTGACTTTTGTTAAAAAATAAACTTAGTTGCCAGGGTGTCACAGCTGCTATTGAGCAACTCAAGGATGTGGTTAAATCACAAAGCTTGTATTCTTGTTTTGCTGCCATTAACAAATGATATTTTTCTATGACAACTTTTAGAAGTTATTCCTTTTTATCAATTTTTTTTTAAAAAAACTCTTTTGCTTTAAAAATTCAATTTTATGGTGTCTTAACTGAGATAACTGTGCAGGCAGAGGCCAGATAAAATGGAAATGTTTTAAAACTTACCCTCACCCTGCTTTTCTCTCTAAGCTTGGTAGACACCCAGCTTTTTACAGGTTTTCAACTTAATAAGCTCTTTCTGATAGCAGGGTAGGTTAGCAGGACTTGCCAGTCATGGTTTTGTACTCTGAAGTGGCCCAGGTAGGATCTGGTCTATGAATCATGTGTCTAAAAAGGAAACACATGGAAGTCTGCGTGCATGGCAGGGAGCTCACTTGTCTCTGGCAAAGAAATCGCTGCCAGGGTTTCCCTAACTATGAGACAGATGGTGCCCGTCACTACTGCGGAGCTGCCCAGCTTACGCTCCCTGTGTGGCAGCAGGGTCCTGGGCACGAGACAGAAGACCACGTCCCATCCCATCTTCTATCCATTCATGCCATCATGCCACCAACTAACACCCACCTCCACCTGCAGCAGACTTGTTCCCAAGCAGCGACGTCTATAATGTAAGCCATCGTCTCTCCCTACTCCCATAATAATTATTTCAAGCATCTCCTTTGATGCTCTTATCGCTTTATCTCTGTACACAAAACACAGTGGCACACTGAACCAATTATTTCCAACATACTCCAGGCTATAATACACTTTAACCTGGAATGCCAAGCTAATTAAGACAAAATTGATTTATTAATACTATGATAGAGAAAAAAATGACTTCTAAGATAGTCATATGAAAATGGGAAGAGGGTGGCCAATCATTTTAAGAAACCAGCTGTCAAGGAATATTGGAAATTTTTAAGTCCTTTGAACAGATGATGATTTTTCATAAATTACAAAAAGTAATTTTTTTTCAGCTTCTCAAATACTTCCTACCACAGTACCTGTACATGGACTCAGGACCAAAGCCTAGACTATTTTTTCCTCATAAACTTTCTTTATTGTGGGC